ACTACTGCTTTCTAGAAGTTCTAATAAATTTGATAACTGTGATAGAGAAAGTCTTTTAAAACCTTTGTCATATYGCTCTGTACTATCTCCTCTCAGCCGTCCTCTCTTTGAGTCGTCTTGCCGACCAACACCTTTATGCGTAATTGAAATCTCTGTAGTTTCAAACACGAATTCTCCCTTTGCCCCGTCGTTGCTACGACAATGAGCAAAAACAGATCCCTTGGATTGTTGCTGTGTATTCACCGTCATTCAGTAGATTATTCCCAGGAAYGGAACGTCAGCCACTCTCTTAATCAAACCACTAGTCGACACGGCTATTATATTATGATGTCGTTTTAGCTTCCGTAGGAAAAAAGACTTCGATTACCTATCAAGAGAACAAACAAATACTCGGTCTGCTTTATCCTCAGAAAATCCATCCAGTTTCTTGCAAGTAAACTGACCTAAATCTAAGTTGCAGTATTTGATTTGACCAATTACAGTCAACTCTCGTTACAGCGGACACCTTCGGGACCGTCACTTCATGTCCGTAATACTGTAGCGAGCGTCCGTAATAGCGAAAATTATTTACTGTCATTTCTTTGTCAGTATTTTTGTCGGGGATTTTTCTCCTGTCCGTAATAACAAGGTGTCCCTAATATCGGAGTTTCCGCAAGGCGAGAGTTGACTATGTTTGAGTGAGAGATTTTGAATCATAACACTGAAATGGCTTTTTTTTGTAAACCAATCAAAAGCGAGGAAATGAACGGAATGAAATTTCATTTTTTTCCTGGAAGTACAAATAACACAGCAAGACTTCTACAACAACACAGTTATTTTTCTTGATAAACTCTTTGCCTTGTACTGTTATGTGAATCTGAATCTCTCTCAAATCAGAAAACGAGAAAATACAGCACATCCAATCACGACSCTTGAACAGTGAAAATGACGCTCGACATCATCGAGAGCTTGTTGATTGGTTCGTGTTCAATTTTTAAGCTTTCTCATTGGCGGACACAGTTAAAGCACTTTGTCAGTCATGTTATGTATCCCTTACATAATCTGCTCTAAGAAAGCTTAGTTGAACTTCATTTTTGCGTTTTAAGTAATAATTGAAAAACAGAATAAAACTGGTCGTTTTTTTTGTCTAGGAAATTAAAACGGGTTAACTGATCTGACCGTTATCTGATCCTAGTTCTTTCGAAAGATAATGGATTGCACTAGGCTGACAGCTGAAGATTCGTTCATTTGTTATTCTCTAGGTGATCATATCAAATTCATTTCCTTGTTTTAACACCTGTTTATAACCATTATTTTAGTCTTTTAAGATTTATTTTTGCTGTTGAGGACCAAAGCCCTTCTTACTTAACTTTAGAATTTCTTTCAACTCTTCCCCCCCCCCCACCCCCCCCCCCCCCCCCCCCCCCCAATTTCACCCTGACTTAGATTTTTTCGATTCTTCATGATTTGCTATGTCCCTTACCATAGAAAATACAGCCATTCAGAATGCAGAGAAGCCGTTGTATATTTGTCAGTATTTCATTCTTTCTTCCCAACATGCACTGCGCGTTGAATCTACGCAGTATTTTGTATGATGTAAGATAAAATGGTTATACAAACTTTCTCGTTGTACACCATGGCATATCCCACTTGTCAATTGTATATAATAGTGATACAATACTTTCTCGTGGCACAACATGGAATATCCCACTTGTCACTTGTATATAATAGT